TTGTTTTTTACAAAAATCATTAATTGGAATAGTTAATTAAATTTAGGCAATTAATCTCTTTTGATTGCATTATAAACGAGTTTAGTAAATCTATGACACACTGAAAGATAGGTCTACACATAACAAATGACTTTTGAAGTGGTTCCACCCACCCCTGACTGTCAGCTTAGCCATTAAGTGTCCAGGAGACAATGTCGACGGTTCTGTCAGCTGTAAGGTGTATAGTTTTAATGTTGATGGATACACAAAGAATGAAACATCCGTGTAAATAGCGATCGTACGATTGGCATAGATCCTTTATCTCATATCCAGATTTCGTAATGTATTAGCACCAAATAATTTTTTTGTGATAATATACATACTTTTAAATTGTATAAGTTTTTTTCTAATTCGGAGGAGGTGGGGATGGAGGGGAATTATACGCTTCCTTTCTAGGTTGTTTATCGTGTTGACAGATTTTTCTACTCAATACTTAATTATCTCTAATACAAAAATTTAATCCCCTGATTCCATATTTTTTTCAAACTGATTTCATTGTTTTGCATATATCCATCATATATATTTTTACAATTCTCTGTTACATACTTCCCTGTTTGATTTTGATTTAAATGATGTATTACTTGGTCTAGTGTGGTCTATATAGAACTGTCTGTGCCACTATATAAGCCTGGTGGTGATTTTATAAAGTCCTTACTTTTGAGGAAACCCCTTATCTAGGATACCTTACAACAATGAGTTTTCCATTCATTTTATAGTGATACGTATAAGGTCAAAGATTGACGCATTCCTTCCACGTAGATGCGATGTAAGGGGTTGCATTCTGACGCGTTACCGGCACGTTCTTACGGCAAGTTTGGGGTAACAGTGGTTTCTCTTTAAATCTTTCATTTGTTCAAATGTTGCCCCAAGTTACAGCGATTTTGAATTCATATTAAGATCGGTTGAATGTCGATATTTTCTCTTTTGCTGATGTTGTTAATACACAAGCACGTATTGGACGGTAATTTCTAGGAAAAGAAACGTTGAAATGAATACCTGGTATTTTGTAAATATTTGTATAAAAAGCTAGTAATTTTGTTTTGGAATATTCATCTACAGTTATCAATTTTTTATTCATGTTTTTGCAACTATCGCCAGAAAGGTAGTGCAAAATACACTACTACCTATATTGCTAAATCTCATTTACCTTCATCATCATAATATTCCTTATTTTAATCAATTAATCTTATTTGAAAACAAATTGTTTGACGCAGTTTAATTTATTATTTCGTATTCATCTATCTTATTATAAATCTGTATCATATACAATATTTAAAAGAAGTCGATCAAAGTTTATAGTTATGTTCTTAAGAGAAGACAACACCTCAACATAATCATAATCTGAACTCAAATTCCATAAAACCAAAACTATGAAAGATTTACAGGAAACACCTAAAAACATGCATGGATGAGGTCAGGTGTTTCTGAAGAGTAAGCGTTTTCTTCGTCAACGTCAAAACCCGCCATGTCAATCGTAGTCAATCCAAGTGAGGAATGTCACGTTCTTAAACGAGAACAAGGTATAAAACAACTGAACCAATACAAGCATCAAACACTTCCAGCTTCATATTGCACAAAGAAATAGACAATTTCTCAATGAATTCACTATGACCGTAAAACTCCCATGTTTTTGTTGGGTTTTTTTTCCATCAAGCTGCATCTTTTGAAACCATGTGTTACGAGTTTGTCTAAAAATTCTTGCACAAAAAATCTTGATGATGTGAACAGGCCCTTGGAATATGGAATCAACTGCGACATGTAAACAAATAGATTGGGGATGCAGGAATATTGCTATCCAGAAATGGTAAATTCACAATGAAATCATCACTTTCATCATACAATTAGGTGAAAGCCTGTACATTTCAGCTTCCCTGTAGGAAAAAGTTGAAATAAGAGGTTGATGTAGAAGAGTCCGTCGTGACTTTGATTTCATTAACTTGGATATGCAGTGAAGCAATGTGAATCCACTACATTGCCATTTTAGTTATATTTACTGAATAGATGAATGGGATTAAGCAATAACAATAAAGGTAGATTCTGGATAACCTTAAGGGTGTGAGTGCAAAAATCGCACCACGTTTAGGTAAATAAATTACTAGAAACATGAAGCCGTTCAAAGTTCAAGGGATCAGATTTTATCTTTAAGAAAATCTGCTAGTTTAAAGAAAAGTTAAATACCTTAAACTTTGAGGGATAAAAAACAAGAACAAACAATCTGTTCGGACGTCCTATTGGTAATTTGTCTTCGTGGTGAATTCCGCGTGAAATGGGAACAACAAAGAACCCCTTATCTCCAAACCGGTGTCGGCAGCTTTGATATCGCAAAGTATTGTACCTGTACAGGTAGGTGTGGCTCAGGTATCTCAGTGTATTGACAAGTATTAGTATCATTCGTCATATAAAACAATAGCACTTGTATACAGCCAGATACATACCCAGCAGGACATGACCTTGGCTTATGTTTGTATACATTTTGAAATAGTAAATAAACATATTCTGTATATATATACATATATATCAACGTCAATATAATTAATTGTTTGTACCTTTTCAGTGGTCTTACTGTAGTATTTCATAAAGCCATATAATACTTGGACGGCGCTATTACGCTCACAAATTTTATAAAATGTAGGTTGTCCTGAATTTAGTATGATCTTATACCAACACAATATATACCAGTTTCGAAGTAACAAGAAATAATTGGCTAGATAGGCTGAGCTATCAGGTCGCTGTTCTATCATTATCCCAGAGGGAGGCTTATAATGGCACGATTGTTATACAGATGATTGGTTTAGTTTTCAACGAATTCAAAACTAAATTGTGGCATTTGATCTTCAGGTAACAACCTTAGGTAATGAAGCATTTTGAAAATCTTTCTAAAGCTTCTATAGCCCAGGTGTGTTTATTTATCTTTCACAGCGGTTCACTAATGACACCGGTGTTGGGAGGAAATTTGACGCGTATGACTTGTAAAGGCACTCCGTTTCTTATGTAAACATCTTATTTATACTACTAACCTTGCTATAGACGGGATTCTTTCACATGTACTGTAACCAGACGAAGTGTCGAATAATGATGAACGAACATTATTTCTATAGAACAAGGATGGGTTGGAATAAGTATAAATTTCATTGAGCAGTCGAAAGTTTGCATTTTTTGTTTGTCGGGCTAATTCATTGATTGATTTTCAAATTCATTCACATGGAGTTATTCTCACACTACAATATCTAGAGTATGTATACAAAGACTTATAGAATTTTACGTTGATGAGGACAAATTAACCTGGACCTGGAAAAAAATAAAATGGTTGTCAAACTCGATGGAGGAATTCATAACATGTCACGTTAATTAATTTAGTTTTAAGTAAATGTTCCTGAAGAAAAAATATTTAATATTTTAAGGCATTGAATGATGTTATGTAGCATGGCATAGGGTGTATTAGAGGAATTTCACAATGATATTTATGATGATGTACTTGGAGTGAGAATAGTTTAATTCTACATTAATGTATTTGATAATGTACATGGAGTGAGAATAAGTTTAATTTACATTAATGTTTTTGATAATGTACTGGGAGTGAGAATAAGGTTAATTTACATTAATGTTTTTGATAATGTACTTGGAGTGAGAATAAGTTTAATTTACATTAATGTTTTTGATAATGTACTTGAAGTGAGAATAAGATTAATTTTACATTAATGTTTTTGATAATGTACTTGGAGTGAGAATAAGATTAATTTTACATTAATGTTTTTGATAATGTACTTGGAGTGAGAATAAGATTAATTTTACATTAATGTTTTTGATAATGTACTTGGAGTGAGAATAAGATTAATTTTACATTAATGTTTATGATGATGTACTTGGAGTGAGAATAGTTTAATTCTACATTAATGTATTTGATAATGTACATGGAGTGAGAATAAGTTTAATTTTACGTTTTTAATCTTAAATCTTACAGGAATTTGAAGTACCTGTTCACACAAATCTTCTTCATCTGTGGCTCCTCCGTTCAAATACAAACCAGACAATTGGTAATTTGTATCGTAAGGTAAAATAAATGTGATATGCAGGTGATTAGGATATATTTGTAAATATTTATTTAGCTTACGAATCAGGTAAACTTTACCACAATTTGGCTTTATACTGATATGGTGTTAGAGTGTGATAACGGACACCATACCTTTACACACCGATACATGTACTACCTGTGATAAAGATCAAATACACCAATTCATTTTTGATGTCTGATGATACCGCACTTTATGACCCTAGGGGTTTGTATGACAGGCATATGTGGATACCGGTATCCGATTCGTCAAATCGAAGCCAGCCTTCGTGACGTCACGTTCCAGTGATTACAGCCATAATACACACGAAATGTAGTATTTGTATATATGTATACTGTACCAATGGGGCACATGTTTCTATATATGTGACCTTAACCTGTTATCGTTTACACGATTGAAGTAACATCCAGATCGCGCGAATAGAGCACGCCTATTTAGGCGATTTAGCTCAATGACAGCTTGGTTCCGCCTCGTATTGTTCCTGATGTTTAAATAGGCGAACTGTGTGTGTTTGGATCATATTCACTCTACACGTGTTTGTAGACTGTCTAGTCTTAGGACTCTTTCTAGACGCCGTAATACCACAGTCCAGTTATTAAAAGGACTCTTGAAGTCTGACTTAAATAGAATTTGAAGAAATTGGATTATGCTCTCTGTGGTAGTACATGAACATGCGTGATTAAACGACCTTTGCTGGAACTACCTGTTCTTGCGTAAGAGCTAGTAGCGTAGATAAGATTTCTTTATATCCTTTGATAAACGATATATTTTCATTCAAACGTTTTTCCTGGGCTTGGCCATTTCATTCACCAGCGGATACGTGTCGACACTTGGTTACTTTACGTGCACGCCCGAGTATTGTGTATTTGTGTTTTCAACAAGACGGACGCCATGAGATCTGAAATTAAATGTGACGTTGAGATCAGCATCAGCGCTGATGGGGAGGACTTTGAAACAATCCAGGTCCCACCGTGTCTTCAGGCTGCAACACTGGGTTCCAACGAGACGCCACTCAGGTGTAGCAAAGACGCTGTCCGGCTGCCAAAACGTTATGTCCAGCGTCTGTACCACGCTAGGACAAATAAAGAATACAAACCGTCCCCTACACAGACCAAAGACAGCACGGAAAGCAGAGAGAAAGACCTGGACACAGCACTAAAATGGATCAAACAGGAAATCGTAAGTCTCACTACATTGATATCAACCTGTGTTTAACTTTTACTGCAATTCTTTAGTCATATCCCAAAACGAAAACATTTTGATAGACAAAATGTCACAGCGATTATTAAATGTATTATTGTCTTGGTTGGAGCAGATACTGTTTATCTTCATGCAATACGTGGTCACTGATCACTACCAACCCAACCTGAATTTAAAATATCAGACACTTTTCTGCATTTGTATTAAAAGCATAACTTAAGCCTATAATTCCGTTAAAACTGCACAAATAAAATGGTCGTTTATGCTGCTGGTAGTGTAGTATGGGGTAAGAATATGTATCTAGATAGAAAAAAAACGATATCTTCGTAATGAAAGCAAACAAAAACACAAGACCACATGTTAGATATTGACAATGATATTTAGAACCCCATTACAGCGAAAGCTTTTTCCCCATTTTCAATCTAATCTGCATGTTGGTTCTGTTTATGTTTTGAACCACAGCTGTTTTACTTGATACGGCACAGCTTGAGTTATATAAAACTATTTAATTAAATGTATGTAGCTGACATGTTTTACATATGGAATGTATATAAAATTGTAAGTCTCGTGTTGTCAATCACACCAGCAGTGTAAACAGATATAACTTTTATCTTTTAAGTCTACAGTGTGCCGTTATATTGTTCACAATACCTGTGTTTACATAATATATTCCCGAAAGAGAATATTACCCGCTGAAACGAATTAAACCAGACACTAGCCATGAAACAGAACGATGAATAATGTTAGCGATTCTTGCAGAAGTATGTCTGCATAATGAGGTTGAAATGTTGATATCATCTGTATACTAATCATGATGTTATTATCATATACACATATAAAGTCTACATAATGATGTTTATTTTATAGAGAACATGACAGTATACACAAATACATTCTAGCTGTGGATACATACTACAGACGTTGCTTATTTTAGATAAGCCGTGTGCACTAAACTTTCAACCTTGAAACTGACAAAGTAATGCTTTATAATATTGAAAAGAAAATAAGTAATCGGAAATGAAAAAAATGTTTGACATTGTAGATTGAGATTCATTTTCGTTTCCGTCAGATAATGATATCAATTATACATACAAAATCTTACAAAACTCTTAAAGCATGTTTTAAATGGAAATCGACACGGAAAGTTCAAAGAAAAACGCAGCTTTTTTGTGCAAGTGAAAAGATATTGAAAATCGAACAATGTACATGTTTTATTTTGATTTAGACAGATTACAATAACAGACGTACTGAAAAGATATTTGACACCTGTTTACCAATAACACCGCTATCTGAGGACAATGTGCAACTGGTTTAAGCAATCAAGCTCAGACTAGCTAAGATAAACAAATACATTATCATACTCGCTCTCATGAACTATTTGTGTACAGACAGTTCTATTATCATATTGCAGTTTGATTGAATACATACCCGAACTAAGTCAATAGTTTTATTCATCTTTTTTACACATCATACATTGTATATTTATAGAAACATGAAATAGCAAAAGTCTGTAGAGAGACAGTATGATATTTTAGGTATAACACTAGGCTGTTAAGTATACTGGAGTAGATAGACAGTATAAGCTATTTTAGGTATAACATTTGGCTATTAAGTATAATGGTATAGAGACAGTACAAGATATTTTAGATATCTCGACGACTTAGTGTACAAATCCCGTTATATAATTCGTGATGAAACCACGTTGACACATATTTGTGTAAAATAGAATAACATAACAGTACTGGAAGACTCAGACCATTGACAGTAATGAAGTATCAGTCATGATTCCAGTAAGTTATCATATAATCCTCGTGTATATTAACACAGTAGGAAGTTAACGCAGAGACCAAAACACTAAACATCTACAATAAATGATACCACAGATCTTTACGACCAAACACGTCCGTGTTGTAGAGGTAGGCATAACATGCATCTCGTCATTTCGACATTAGGTTTGGGTTTACGACCTACTTTTATCGTCCAAGGCCACGAAAATCGGTGTCCCTTGTATGGTGAAGGACTGTATGTTTCCAGACCAAATGATGAATGGTTTATGGACTTGTGGTCTGACAATGTAATGGACAACTCACCAATTACTCACATAAACAAATGTTTTCTGATGTTTATAATACAATGATTTACGTGAGTCAGACAGTGACTATACCACGAAGTAAAAATTATTTTATCAATGAATTCAAACAGGTACTTGTATAGCAAATGTTTAATTATTCAATAATATTTCATATTAAACGCCATGATTTATCCTGTGAATTTCATGCTTAATTTGAGGAGGGGAATAATTCAAATATCCACCTGTCATAATTATGAATACAAATTTCTGATTGCCATCAACTTATCCGACAAATGTCTTTCAGCCAAATGCCGAAAACAGACATTTACCTTTAGACAAAGTGTGAGAAATGTAAATTTGAAGTGAGAAATCAAACACTCCATGTTGATACTTTGTGTACACTAAATATCTACCTATTCCGCGGTGAGAACCTCAAAGAGAAATTTACAATACGGCATCATTCAATGAGTGTACTTAATGCCCTGCATACTTCAGGTAGTTTAAATTGATATATAAAATCTGTGAAATTTGAAAAAAAAACTCCTTTAGTGAAAAACAGCTTTGAAGAAGTTAAAAAAAAACTCGTACAATGAAAAGCCGCATGGAAGTAGGTGTTTTGTCATGTTGGCAGAGTTTATCTACTTATGCAAAAGTTAAGTGAAAGGTGCAAATGAGAAATAGTTTTTATTTTCGTCGTAAATAATGTTGTGTTTACACAATGGCTAAGATATTAAAGAAAAAACTGCCTTAAAAGCCATCCTTAGTTAAGGGGTGTCTCTTAAAGTACATTGTAAACCTGTGTGGGTGATGTGACGTTGATCGCGTAAACCTGGAATTAAACCATGTCAGATCGACTCCTTGCCAAAAGGTACGAACGTGCGAATATTTGGGTAGGTCAAAGACAATGGCCGCGGTGCTTATCGACGAAACAATATTGATATGTTTTGGCGATTCGACGACAAGCTGTCGTTGGTATTTGGAAATGTCTTACAACAATGACTGGGTACATTGCGTTGGTTTTTACCACGTCACACAATCGCTGTAATAAAACTTTGCTTAATGAAACTGAACGGTATCACGACTTATTACTCGACCAGAGTTTATCAGATGTTTTTTAAATGTTCATCACTGCTATCTCATTTAAAAGCTATATCTAAATATAGATTTATAAGAAAAACCTATCTTATCTCAATACCTGTAGACTTTCAACTCTGATATGAAACTTTTATTTATTGACACTATCCGTTTCTATGTAAAGATACCCTGTGAGCACATCTATATGTTTTCGCGTCCGATACATGGCTGTTACGTTGTTTTCACCCGATGCAAATTTTCATTTGTAGGGTTATATTTGCGAACCTGTATCGGGGTTTTAACGAATATTTTGTTATATACGGACATTAAAGATCAATATTAGAAATGATTTAAACATGAGGTCGTGCTTTACTGTTGGGGAACGAATGTTTACAAAGATCCCCACTGCGCGGGATTTGTAAACAAAGCTACCTATCTAGACCTTTTTCAGCTTAAAAGGGACGTGCTTTTGTGTGTGAGATGATACCAACCTTTATGATGTATTTGACTATCTAAAAAGCCCCGCGAGGAAATCTTTCAAATGAACAACTGTAGTTAATGTGTGAAAAAGTGATGATAAAATCACAGTGAATTTCACAAAAAGGCATCCAGGTGTAACAATCGTATCATAGACGTCTCGTGTTACAGAGAAGTTGTCTTGGTTGTTGAAGAATTTTGATTACGAGTTTTGTTGATTTGTGGTTATACATGAAGGTGAGAGATACAAGGTCACAGTTACTGAGCACGCACGATAGCTTTCTGTAACTGTTGAGATACAGCTGAAATTCCTATTCCTCCATTACAGTTTTACTTTAAATTGCAGCACTTAAGTGACGTAGAAACGTCGCCTTTCAACCATAACAGGAGTCATGATGACAAATGTATAGCAGATAACGAGAATTGTAAAGGTTTTCGTCCTTATTGACTGGTAATTAGAGGGTTTTTAAGTATACGTAAATAAGGGTGTGTGTTTAATTTAAAATCCAAATTGCATTTAGTTGCGTAATAACTAGACCGATATCCCGAGTTAATTAGTAAAATTGGTAACGTCATCGGTATATAACCAGTCCCTATATTTACGGCCTCAGTGATAGTTAGAGTAGCAGATAAACAGCCAAGATCTTCACCATCAAAGAGATGATTTAATATGTTTATTTACCTTTGAAAAAAAAACACAAATCATGATAACAATTATTATCACGTAACTTATAACCATTCTACATTTGTATAAAGAAAAGTGAAGTATGGTTTTAGACACAACTATTCGGCGTCATTTTTCGTGTTCGTTATTACAATCCAATGATATTTGCATCATACACATTGGTTCATCGTGAAAAAAAAGCAAACAAATATATATAGACAAATAAGAAGTAAACAGTATTCATCGACATGCATGATGTATCTAGACCTTTATGATTATCTAAAATTCAATATATATTTTACAGATGGAAATGAAGGAGCAGGACAAATCGCTGATGAAGCAGTTTATAGACCTTCGGTCCACCATTGTACAGCTGCGGTGTATGTTTGAGGTGCATAGCTCGAGTTCGGACATCAGCAGTATGAGCGGAAGTAACATGTCTCTGGATGATTTACTGCGCCCTGGTTCCCCAATGGGTTCCCCCAACCACCTGTCGCCCATAGCGGACATAGACGAGTCTACAGAATTCAGATCTCGGACATCTTCCCTCCTCACGCCGTCCAGAAAGTCCCCAATAACCCGTATCAAGTGGAAAAGTAACGAGTTCATATAGGAAGCCGGAAGTTGTGTCAACTACTGCGAGTTGAACTTCCGTTCGTGACAGGGCTTGATAGTCTGAACAGATTGGTTTTAGGAGCGCAAGTTTTTGTGGACGAATGTGTGATGTAAAATCATGTTTGTACATTTTTACAGAGTGCTAATGGAAACCAATGCTGACGTTTTTCGTTTGTCGCGATATTGCTTAGGTATAGAAAAACAGTTTTGTAAATGCTGGATCGATCAGGAAGTTCCATGGTCGGTCGAGTCTTTATTGAAGTTACTGGACACGATGGGTGGTGTGGCCTACACTTCCGATGTGTTTTGGCGCCCTGCATGCGTGATCAATCAGACGGGGTGTCACAATCAGTCATGTGTAATAGGTGTACTCGATACATCACAGCCGACGTTGTAAACATGGACACACATACAATGACCAGCAGGGTATCTAATTTCCAACGCTGTCCAACCTGATGAATGCGTTATCTAACAATTCTGGTGACTAATTTATATTTTATAATCCATTTCATGTATTTTCATATTTGTAATGCAATAAGTTATTAAAATATACAATACTGTATTGACGGGTTATTATTTTCTACACATATCCTTTTCGGATCACTAAATGCCTTGGCTGTTCAGGGACGATAACCTCTACCAACAAACAATATTTATACAGTAAGACAGCTGTCACTGCGGCCCGATAGCTTGTCATGACTACAACAAAAGTAGGATGCTAAAATGTGAAATCTGTTTTAAAAAGCAAATTTATCGCCTAGAAAGCATTTATTGAATTGTGTGACTAGACTTTGACATTTCCTACAATCACTTTTGATTTACCTCAGTCGCCTCCTAGACTTCAAACTTTAGGCCTTTGACGTCACTGAAGAATCTGAGAAGAACGAAACAGCATTTCTTTCCGTGTTATCAAAAAATACCAAAATCAGAAATAAATAAAAAAAAATCGGAAAGGGAAATTGAAGAACTGAGAAACGGGATTTATATAACGAGCTTAATGAACAACTATGGCAGGATAGAATAGTTAGTAAATTCGTACACCTTGTTGGGTTTGTACAGAAAATTTTGTCATCTTCATTTTACAACGGGGCTTGGTTATTAAGAACATTTTTGTTTAGTGACATCTTTTTAATCTAAATACGTTGGTTAGTACAGTGATACCTGAATTGTATAAACGTCCGTAGCAATAAAATGGGTATTTAGGAATGCATTGGGTCGTCAGTCCACATTCCTAGCAACTAGGCCGCATGTGAGCATAATAGCTGCAAAAGCTAGATTTCAAAATATCTTTTTAGTGAGAGGTAGATGAATAATAAGTTTTAATCAGCACAAACGAACCTATTTTCATTGAATGTTCCAAACAATTACCTCCATATGATATATAGTGATACACAGTCTGTTTACGCAGTATTTGCCATTGCACCAACAACCGCATCATCACCTCCATTAAACACCTGCTACATCCAGCCAAGAGCGACTGTGTTCTGCTGATCATAGGTAGATAACATGATTATATTGTTTCTTTGTGTATCCAAGCGTTTGAAAGGGAGCTTCAGGCCCGAGAGCACGATATTTACTACTGAGTACGGCCGATCGTCCACGTGATCGGGAATAAGCCGTTTTTATCCTTTTATCAGTTGCGATGAGTAGGATCCTGTTATGGCCTTGAGGCTATATAAGGTGTATACTTCACACGATCTCTACAATGACTATATAAGGTATACACTTAACCTGGTATCTATAGCAACAAATTTTCATTCCAGTCTAACATTTTCGTATTTTTCTTCTCGTTGAAACTCGGGCAAATTTTATTTTATTTTTAATTTTATTGAAACACAACGTATCTGAATATGTCCATTTTAGTTTTTATCGATAATCATCATGAAAACAGAACACAAGTTTAAAATTATGTCCTGATGTCAAAATCACACGTGATTTACATTTTACGAATGGCAGTGTGGCTGCAGTTAACCCTTGTCTGTAGACATTATTACATTCCCCAAATAAAAAAAAACCTATGCTTGCTTGATAATTGAGGAGCCCTACCTGAAAATCATTCTATATTTTCAAAGAAGAAATAATTGCTAAACATGCGTCAGCGAAATAATGATTCAGATTACCTATCAACGATAAGGATCCCGACCTAAATGTCTCAAGAATTCATCTGACAAATAAATTTACAAAACCACGTTGTAAAGATGCTGGTTTATTAAGGTCACGGGGAGTTTTAAGGTTGTCATATAGATCCGAAAATCGCAATCGCACTTAAATAAAAAAACAAATAAATAAATTTCAAAATAAATTTTTGTCACCTTAAATACATTAACAAGTACTAATACATGCTGACTTTGACGTGAGGATATATAAGAACATCTGGTCTTATTGTATTCTTCATAAGTAAAACATTATAGGAACTCAAGGCTTTGTTAATTTCATCATCATTTAAAATAAAGTCATCAGAATGGTTTACCAAACTATGAAATATTTTCATATGCTCTTATTCCATTCAATACTTAGTATTTTACGATTTCAAAATTTGAAATTTCAAGACATTCGAAAATACTCCAACTATGTTACATGTTATAAAATACTTAAGATATAAATGGTGTGTTATTTGTTGTTAAGATGACACACGTCAGTGACCGGACCGTGACCCTTGTGTGGTGTCGGTGTTACATCACGCTCGGGTTGTCGTGACTCGCATGTTTGATCACTCTGTCCAGTCGTGAGGTAGTAGATCAATTTCCACCAGAAGTCGTGTAATATTATTTATTACCAACATTCATGTTAAAATTGTCACGAATCAGGAATCTATATCTGTAATGAATATATATTAACTTACGGGCTCGGAAGGATTCTCGCCTTCCTGGGAAGTTTAATCAATTTCTGAAAACATAGAGATGATATTCCCTGTGTTACAACTTTATTTTGGAAAATTTTTGCTTCACCGCCGAAAAAAGACACAATTATTTGAAACTGAATCATTACAAAAATGACATTTTTCATATTTTGAACTAAGAAATATTATTTGATTGACAGCATGTGAGAAGTAAGGTGATATATATTTCGTCAATCAATTTACACTCCTGGGCTCGTTTTTGTTTATTTTTTCCCGTGAACAAAGTAACTAATTCAGACTGAAATTCAAACCGGAATTACCAAGAGTACATTATCTTACATGTATCATGCCGTGAACCTGTAATACATAAGGTTTTGGTTTGAAATTATATATTCTTTCCGTCAAGAACACTTATGTTCAATTTTTATCACTTTATGCAATAAAATTAAGCGAATTGAACTTTGAATTTACTCTCACCTAATATGTATTACATTACAAGAAGTACATTACAAGTAATATAATGTCAGAGAGAAGTACATTACAAATAAGATAATGTCAGCGAGAAGTACATTACAAATAAGATAATGTCGGCGAGAAGTACATTACAAATAAGATAATGTCAGAGAGAAGTACATTACAAATAAGATAATGTCAGCGAGAAGTACATTACAAGTAAGATAATGTCAGAGAGAAGTACATTACAAGTAAGATAATGTCAGAGAGAAGTACATTACAAGTAAGATAATGTCAGAGAGAAGTACATTACAAGTAAGATAATGTCAGAGAGAAGTACATTACAAGTAAGATAATGTCAGAGAGAAGTACATTACAAATAAGATAATGTCGGCGAGAAGTACATTACAAATAAGATATTGTCAGCGAGAAGTACATTACAAATAAGATAATGTCGGCGAGAAGCACATTACAAATAAGATAATGTCAGAGAGAAGTACATTACAAGTAAGATAATGTCAGCGAGAAGTACATTACAAGTAAGATAATGTCAGAGAGAAGTACATTACAAATAAGATAATGTCAGAGAGAAGTACATAACAAGTAATATAATGTCAGCGAGAAGTATTACAAAAATGACATTTTTCATATTTTGAAGTAAAAAATATTATTTAATTGACAGCACGTGAGAAGTAAGGTGATATATATTTCGTCAATCAAGTACACCACAAATAAGATTTTTATATGAATATTTTAACTTTGATTAACACAAAATGATAACTAATGATAATTTCGTTCAAGGTCTGATAATGCTGAACCTGAGAACGTGGAGTTAAACTACCGGACTTTCGACATAGAAGTTTTCCACAATGACAACATCAACAATCAACAAATCATCAATCATTTGTTTATCGCTGGGTTAATTCAGTCAGGTGTCGTATATCGGTTAATTAATACAAACAATCAATTTGTAAATTTGTAGATTTTATTTTCGTATCTCAACTTCACAATTTTGAGTCTATAATAAATATTGCAGACACCATACAAGGCACACCAGAAACAATCATCTTGGATGATACTCTGAGCAAATCTCTATTTTCCAGCTCTTCATGAGGGCAAACAGACTTTCACAACATTTAAAGTTGATTTTATTTTAAATGAAACGCCAAAAAGTTGAAACTTTTTCAAGAAAATCTTAACAAGTTAACTTGGAGAAAATGTTGAAATTTTGAAAGAAAACATTTCAGCACCAACAGGAAAAATATCACCAATATTTGAAGTAATCTTTATTGTATATAATGTATAAGATAAAATAATTGTTTTTTTCAACTTAACGTCAAATGAATTCGAACGTCTTTCTATCTTGATAAAATTAATCCACACCGAGCGCACACTTCCTTGCATGATGAAAAAGTGATGGTAGAGCTTTCAGAATGAGACGAGTTATGTCCCTTAGTCCGAACGAGATTCTAAGTACCAAAATATGAAAATTACAAAATCTTATATATATATAGATAAATAGATTTCCGGAAAAAATTCGAAGCAAACCCGGTATCGGGAAGCTATCTGGAGTGATATATAATTCCACTGATGGATTCAAATAAATGTATACAAAAAATAAATTACGCTTTAGATCGCAACAGACAAGTAGTAAACATTTCTTCAGAACTTCCATAGTCTAGATCAACATCATATCAAATAACACAAAGACAAAATCTTACAAGTGGGTGACAATATTGACACAAATAACCAGTCAGCTGGTCTTAAAGTTGGAATTGCCATGAAATTGATTCCAATAAAAAGCATAAAGAGTCACATCGGACGGACTGGATACAATGGACGATTTCATAACATTACGCTTTGTAAATAGTGGTGTAAAGTTTCGTATCATGGTAACGCTATTTTTGGTTTATCCAAACTCAACAATTCATGATATATTTATTTAGTTTTTTTTTAAATTTAAAGCATATATGGCTGTTTGGATCTACAACCCACATGTTTGAAACCTTATCAAATAAACCTTCAATATACTACAGGGCATTGACATATTATACTATTTACATACTCCGCTAATCTAACAAAAGTGGTTGCCAGCAGAAATGATACTACCAATTTATCAAAGCCTGTTTATGTATATCTGTATCTGTAAGAAAATGTAAAGAATGGATAAATTTTATCTGGAAGTACCTGGTTGAACGAGATTCTATATTATATTCATTCAATTTACCGAAGGCAGTTTTTTTTGTTTCGTATCACACTTTCACATGTCAATAAAACAAACAATTATCATACAGTAACATAATAATAGATCGATAACTAACAATATAATGTCACATACCAATGTCACATACCAATGTCACATAGCAATGTCACATACCAATGTCACTTAACAATATAATGTCACATACCAATGTAACATAACAATGTCACATAACAATACAATGTCACATAACAATACAATGTCACATAACAATGTCACATAACGATGTCACATAACAATATAATGTCACTTAACAATGTCACATAACAATGTCACATAACAATGTCACATAACAATATAATGTCACTTAACAATGTCACATAGCAATGTCACATAACAATATAATGTCACATAACAATACAATGTCACATAACAATGTCACATAACGATGTCACATAACAATATAATGTCACATAACAATGTCACATAACAATGTCACATAACATAACAATGTCACATAGCAATGTCACATAACAATGTCACATAGCAATGTCACATAGCAATGTCACATAACAATGTCACATAACAATGTCACTTAACAATACAATGTCACATAACAATGTCACATAACAATGTCACATAGCAATGTCACATAACAATGTCACATAGCAATGTCACATAACAATGTCACATAACAATGTCACTTAACAATACAATGTCACATACCAATGTCACATAACAATATAATGTCACATAACAATGTCACATAGCAATGTCACATAACAATGTCACATAGCAATGTCACATAACAATGTCACATAACAATGTCACATAACAATGTCACTTAACAATACAATGTCACATACCAATGTCACATAACAATATAATGTCACATAACAATGTCACATAACAATGTCACATAGCAATGTCACATAACAATGTCACATAGCAATGTCACATAACAATGTCACATAACAGTACAATGTCACATAACAATGTCACTTAACAGTACAATGTCACATAACAATGTCACTTAACAATACAATGTCACTTAACAATATAATGTCACATAACAATGTCACATACAATGTCACATAACAATACAATGTCACATAACAATACAGTATTCAAATCACACTTCACAATGAAAGTCTAAATATTCACACTTTATTTCAGTGGACGTCAGTGATTTTATAAACTGTATCTTTGAATATAAAATTATGAATGGACATATTGCAAAAAATGCATTATAACATCAACTTTGTTAAAATTTTCATGGGGCCAAGCTATGCATGTTATATACACGAAACATATCGGTAATTACTGATAATGTAGAGTCATTGACGAGACAGAATTAGTATAACTAACTATGAAAATGGTTGATGAAATAGTGCAGCTCCTTCACAACAAAAATATCAACCTTAATGAAACGAACAATCTTTATCAATAATTTCTTGTTTACGTGATCTATGATAACATAACAACAACATTTAAGTTATACGATGATGGGATAAGTTTGATGATTAACAATTTGCTTCATTCGTTTTCTGTTCTATAGCTTTGCCCGACATCGGTTTCTGTTCCTTAGATTTGCCCGACGTCTTCTGCCAATGAGACAAGATGGCATTCTGTCGGATCAGGTTTTTCTTGACGAATGGGGCCGAGAAGCTTGCCCCGTGTATTTTCTCTAGACTAGTGGTATTAGTGACTCCCTCGTCCTTGTTATCCTCCTCAGTGGCGATCTCCATCTTCTGCACAATCAGTCTTAAAAGATCGTACTGCTTATCTAGTGTCGCTCCCATAACCTTCATTCTGCAAAAAACACCAAGAAAATACCAACATGTCAGCATCATCATAATCCAAACTCAAATTCCATAGAATAAGGGCAAAATATGAACAAAAGAAAAATTTATATAGAGACTCCTTGAAAAAGTACGAGGGGCATAAGACCAGGTGTTCCGAAGGAGTTAGCGTCTTCTGCTTTATCGACAATACCCGCCTTGTAAACCTTGATCAATCCAAGTATGTATTGTCACGTTCTCAAAGAAGAACAAGGTATACAACAGCAACAGGCAAACTAGCATGCATCAAACACGTAAAGTTTCATATCATAAAAAGAAATCGAATATTTCTCAATGAGATCACTATGGCAACCATGAGACTTCATTTACATAGTCTTTTGACACACATTTTCCGAATATTAGAAACATTTTCAACTACCTAACAGATGTTATCAAAAAAATGGAAAGTCCAAGATCAGTAAGTCTGTTTATAACGTGGCATTAAACACTTATTATTTGTTGTGAATAAAGTCTCATCCTCTATAAGTACACCAGAGAAAGTTTGATATTCAATATTTATGATAACAAACTGTCTCATAGCAAAACATAAAACATTAAAACAACAGGGAAACTGATAAATCTAAACCAACAGGAAGTTAAGAGACGGCAATATCAATGGCTGCCAGAACAAAACGATATATTTTTTTCATAAAAAAATTACAACAGCGTAGAATCCAGAAATGGAACTAAGAAAAACTAATCAGTCCAAGACTTTGTAAGAAAATGCAGAATTAGCCTGATTAATGTTGTATACATACCTTTGCTTCTGTTTGTGGAGTTCCGTATACAGGTAAGCGTCATGGCGTTTTGTGTCATCTGATCCCAAGGCAATGCTTTTGTTCCAGGTCATTTTACTCCAGAGCTATGTAAAACATGCAAACATTTATATTCACAGCTGATATCTCATAAGCCTACCATTTAATATTCAAAAAAATAAATACAAGTTACGAAGCGAAACAAACCAATGTTGGAGTGATTCACACATAACTATTGAAAATACACAATAAACGATATTCATAAAAAATCAAGCAGGCTGTTTTTTTTTGTAGTTGAATATCAATATTGAATCCAAGGACATGCAGCTTAAGCGAATATCTTATCATACGTGGACAAGTAAGTATTTTTTTTAAGTATTAAAACAACTGTGTTTGTAAAAATGCGGCCTTGAGTTCATGTTATGTAATTTGTATATATCATTTTTAAACGCAATATGATATAAAACTGTTGAGTACATTTTCCAATACTTACCGAGGCCATACTGCGGCCACATTTGTTCGGGTAATATCGGTACTGGACTTTATCAACCTTCAGCAATAACCACTTTGGTAGCCTCCTTTCTAGGTCCGTATGTAACTCCACCTGATACCGGCGCAGAAAGGATACACCATTTAAAGTCCGAGATGTTAAAGAAATTTCCGTTATACTATCATTTAATAAGGAATTTGATTCAGTTTTTGCGCGTATGTTTAAAATTTTATATTTGCTTTGAATCCGTCCTAATGACAATATGCGGTACATGTTATCCTTAAGTGATTATGTGTTCAGAAGATTTTCCAAACCCAGTTTAGGGTGATGTAACCATACCTGCATAGCTAAACGCTTCAAAGTGGCATTGCTTTGCACCGACTCTATGTCACCGACAGCGAGACCAATCTGTACAGGAAAAAGTCAAAGAACGTTAAGAAGGGAAATATATCGGTTAATAGCAACGTTCATCAAATTATAAAACTCTTACAGGTTAGAAAAATGTATTTTTTAAGATAAGCATTTCGAAGTTATCTCCCTTACGTCAACGTTATGTGTCCTATTGAGCTAACACATTTAGTATAGTATGTGATTGCTATTTGTGATTTCCTCACCCTACAGGCCAGTATTGGAAACAATATAATTATCATCAACAACAGAAACATTTCCGAACATCGTTTTGAAGTTTACATGACTACGAGAAACAATGAACACGCACCAACAGATTGATGAGAAGGATAGGCATCAACAACACAAACATGACGAGGAAGAAAATTGTGAGACCACCAAACCCCACAGTAGTGATGTCTCCGTCTGTAAGAGGCTCATTAAACGACGCCATGTAGTCTAACTCCAGCATCATCATCCCGGATCGTAGAATAGCCATTCCAGGACTAGAGTAGGCGTGGGAGACCTGGTAAAATATTGGCCAATGTATCGTGTATGGAGTTAACCCCGGTAGTTCTAACAACACAAAACATGTTCTGAATTCACGTATCATTTGTCGCTAGTAACGGTATTTAGCCTTAAATCAAGGACTTCTTATAGTCAATATTATATAAAGGATCATAAGTTGATATATATATATATAGGTATATAAACATGATGAACTCCTGTGTTTAGAGGTTATAGTCGAATTTATATTTTTTATATGGTAAAGATGCTATACAGATTCTAGGTAAGACGATGAATTACGATGACAAGACGAATGCAACCTTACATCAGTAATCAGCCTTTGTTAACATATCTTATTATCATCATTAGTACCGTCTTTTAAGAATATATGTTTTCGTGAAAAAAATGTTGATATTTAATATAACTGATGTAAATACCTCTGTTTTCATGAGAAGAAAGAATGCGAATCCGAAGGCCACGATAAGTAAGGAGAAGACACTAAGAGCCTGTATCAGTGTGGAAAGGATCTCCAGGAACATCACAACATATATTCCAAATACGTCAAACCTACAGCAAACGAGATCAATTATCAGTCTGAACCAGCCGGCAAGACCCATCCAAATTACACTTTCTGTTAAACTGGTAGACTATTATATCATTCTTATTTTGTTTGGGGTATAAATGTCAAGGGAAAATTTGATTTCACATTCATCCCAAGTATTATCTACCTTTGAAGGAACAACAAGCAGTTAAACCAGGCGAGGAAAATTGCGATAGCTCCAGCCTCGACTTGGAATTTGTACGTGGTGCCCGTTATCATGGGGATCACGAACACTCCAGTGGTGACGTAAAGGACCCATTCCAAAGCATTGCCGATATCCGTAAAGTATTTCATCCGCTTCAATCGACAAAACAAATTATCAGTGAAGTTTCCACCCACATCAACTCTTTACCTGTGTAGTTCTTTATCAAAATCACATACACAAATTTCTTGTTATTTATACTTTTTCCTGTTTGACAGTGTCGGATTATACTTCAAAGACTATGCGAGAATTAGGAAATTCATTGAATTATAACGCTGATGAAACTCCTTAGGTTTTCATATAGATTTCGACCAATGTGGATTTCGTACAGTCGTTTCCTAGGTTTAAACAATTGAGACATTACTAAAAACTGTTGGAAGGACTAAACAGCTGCATATACAGTTTGCTTTATTGTTTAACTACTGTATCTCATCAGAAAACTTTGAACTAAAATATCTTATTCTCTAGTATGCCTTTTGTACAATTCTCTATTTTTTGATATTTTTTAAGTACTCACCTGTTGGTACATTTGGGCGAGCTCTTTAAATATATTGAGACCAGTGAAAACCACCACGATGTACACACATACCTGCTTCGCCGTGTGGATCTTGATGAAAGCAATACATTGCAATTATCATTTCGTTTTAAAATGAATTTTATAATTTATGTTAATCATGGATGTCTCTGTTGACATCAAGTAACCTCCGACCTATTTGAGACGAAACGTTTTATGTTACTGTTGAAACACACTTTGAAGTATTTTAGGAAGAATACAAAACAGGGTGAAAATAAGCAACTTTAAACTAGGCGCAACAAAGTGTACGAATGTGATAAATCATGCAATATCTTATAGACAAGTGGAGTTAGTGTGCGTATTTATTTATCTATTTTTGTTAAGGTGAAAGAAGAAGAAAAAGACTATGTGTGCTTGTTACACTGCTACCTCTACTGTGTGTGGGTCGTCCGTGGTTGTACTCCCATTGGTGCTATTTTGGCCACGATCATCCGTGGGATACCAGAGTGTTGTTGTGGTCACAAGCATGGTCAGCAGTCCGAGATATATCAGGTAAAGGACCAGGTTGGTGCTGTGAAACCACAGTCCGTAAGCTCTCCTGTAGGATAAAATGATCGCCATGTTTGTTTATTGATTCATCATCAGAAGCAAATATTTAAACGACAGTAGGAGAGCAGATAAAGAACAAATTTTATTTACTCCGTGAGAATCCGGCCATTGGCTTGATACGTAAAAGATAGATAAAGTAAATGGCATTTAATCATTCTTATAACGGACTTCCAGGGCTTCGTGTAATGTACAGATTCTCAGAAGTTAGCCAGAGGACAGTAAATATGCCCTTTAAATAACATTGCCTTAGTGACCAGTGGAAAAATATAAAAATATAGATGGAAGGAAGATATACACGGAAACCCCTTAGAAAGTACAATGCGGATGAGACAATATGTTCCAGAAAGGTAAGCGATAACGACGACATCAGCCATGTTTTCCTTAGTCAACATAAGAAAGTAATATCAAGTAAGTACTAGGTTTCTTCGTAACTAACCAACAGACATACAAATTATCGTCTAACTCGTGATATAATTTATTTACCAGCCACATCATGATCAATGACATTTTTCGTGGACAATGGTCGCAATACTTACCATTTCATGGACAGGAATGCCTTACACAGGGGGTGGGACAGACACTGAACACGCCCAAATCTAACCATAGCCTGGAAATGAGATAATATATTTTTTGATATACAATAAATTATCAAAATTAAGCACCGTTTTCAAACCTTTCAAAAGGCAGAGCTTTCTCCGAAAGCTTAATGATATAATGTAATCTTTTAAAAAGATTTATCCAGACTGAGCGCTATTAAGGCTCAAAATTTTACAGATTTAGGATGGAATTTATACAATTTTTGTCATCACGTCAAGTGTGAATTCGTACGAATTCAAATTATCTAAAATAAAAAACAACCCTCCCCCACCCCCCCCCCCCAAAAAAAAAAAAAAAAAAAAAAAAAAAAACAAAAACAAAAACAAAAAATACTGTTTTAAAAGTTTTGAAACATGTAGCTGTAATGCTAGTTACATTTAGAGAAAATAGAGGGGGCACATCCTTGTCAGCCTTGTGCATTTTCTTGACATACTCGATTGGCGCCTGTAGGTAGGAGAAATCGTACTCTATCTGTAAGATTAAAAGGAATACAATATACTATCTATGTAGCTCTGTTATAACTGTAAGTATAATATCATACATATAATATGGACTGTGAAATACTTATTATTATTATTATTTCTCGTGAAGAGAATCGATATATTTTAAAACAAGAGTTATCTTTCTTTAAGAGATATGTATTTCATGGTCGTTACTGTCATACGAGATTATATCTACATAATGTAGTCTTAAATTAATATTGTTCTTATATAAATTTCAATCTTGCCTGCTGAAATATATTCATCCAGATTTGCATTTCGTATTGACAAAGATTTTATTTAAATGTCCGATTTTCTTTCCAGATAAAACCAGTTTCTAATCATCAGATATTCCTATTATATCGATATGCTATCAACTGTGCGATAATTTGAGTCTGACATCAGTAATACTTTACAATTACGGGTATGGACAATATGTACTTACATAAAAACCGCTTTTCCTCTCATCTTCATTTGATCGTTGAAGACAATTATCCAGAACGACCTACATTACAAAAATATGTATCAATATTAAAATATCAAGCGATCTTATTGTGTGTGTGTGTGTGTGTGTGTGTCTGTGTGTGTGTGTGTGTGTGTGTGTGTGTGTGTATGTCTGTGTGTCTGTGTGTGTGTGTGTCTGTGTGTGTGTCTGTGTGTGTGTCTGTGTGTGTGTGTGTGTGTGTCTGTGTGTCTGTGTGTGTGTGTCTGTGTGTGTGTGTGTGTGTGTGTGTGTGTCTGTGTGTGTGTGTCTGTGTGTGTGTCTGTGTGTGTGTCTGTGTGTGTGTGTGTGTGTGTGTGTGTGTGTGTGTGTGTGTGTGTGTGTGTGTGTGTGTTTTCAGCAGATTATTCTTGTGTTTTAATATGTTATAATTCTTTTTTTTAATTTTTTATCACTAAATGATCATTTGTTTATTGTTTCATAAAAGATATTTTTACATGATAATGTTTGTTTTATAATAAGGAATGCATATATCGACAGATATAAGAATGTATTCATGGATGCTTGGTTGCCTTGGTACACATTCAGTGAATATCTGTCCACACATATTGACAGTGAGATCAATTAAGGACGTACCATGCACACGTCTGGTAGATACTGGATCAGTGCATACATCGGACAGACAGTTCCTGAACATAGACTCATAGCTTCACGCCACCTGTTTAAAGAAGATTTTTATTTCTATATAAAATAACATAATAACTGTGCTAATGGGTAGCATACCTGGCACTATCTTAAAGTACAATTACACAAAGTGGGCGGTCCAGATGTGACCACACAAAAGCGATGAGCATTTATACGAACGTCCCTCAAGGAGGTATATATCAACCTTATCAGGAAACTTCAGCGAGTGATAAATAAACTTTCTCCAGAAATGAAAGGTGTTATTTTATTGTGTGTTCAAACAAACTGCCGGTACCTAACATAGGGTAATCTCAGTAAGACGAATATCCAGTGCTAACCTTTCATGCCGAACTATGGTAAGAGCCACATCGGTATCCTGAGCTTCTATAGCAGTATCGAAAAAGGATTTCTTCTCTTTGTTTACTGTCATTTGCGCACCTAACGTCAATAGGAGATCGACACATGAGGTTTTCCCTTGCTTAGCAGCAACATGAAGAGCAGTTTCCTGTATATTAACAAATTGACTTTTATAATTTCTGTTTTGTATACATGGAAAGATTTAAATAAATAGACATATTTTGTGTTAATCTGTTGACAACCAAAAAACGAATGATTTCCTTGAGAAACTGCACACTATGCTATATGCAAATGACATTCATATGGGATATGAATTTCCTAAGAGATCATAAAACACATCAACCTTTATGTAAACCATATATTTCACTTGTATAATGGTAGTGACCAGACAACAAGGATTCGCTAAAAAACATGTGTTCTCGGCCTTTATCATTCAGATAACATAACGATGATCCTCACTCGCTAATAAGCATCCTTAAAGTTAAGTAAAATGTTCCATCTGGAGGTTGATAATATAGCGCTGGTGTTCAGCAATGATCTTCCATACAAAATGGCAGCGAACCTATATAACCTAAACACGATAGTGAACATATCACAATCATGTAGATTTTTAAAAAGTTTAGAAGACACACAATTGAATAGCACTTCAGTGAGATACATTGAAACAAACATTGGATGAAAAAATGCTTTCCGCGTGTTGTATGTTACCTACCGGACTAGTACAAATATAGAAATTGGAAACACCTTTCATTATATTAAATATTTACAGCTGCACATTTAATCAAAATCGCTCAACTCACACAAAAAAAAATCAAGAAAATACCAACATGTCAACATAATCATAATCATAAACCAAAGTAAACGTCTTCTACTTCATCGACGACATCCGCAATTTTAACCTTGATAAATCTTAGTAAGTAATGTCACGTTCTCAAAGGAGAACAAGGTATACAACAACGGAACAAGTAGGCAAATTAAATAGCATCAAACACGTCCAGCTTTATATCACATAAAGAAATAGAATATTTCTCAGTGAGATAGCTATGGCGAACATAGTTACAACACTAACAAGACCATAATTCATCATTCCAATGAGAGTATAACAGAACTTTGAAATATAATATTTATTGGTAGCTTTCTATTAATGGGAAACATGTCATATTTCAATAAGTCAAAATTGGTGAACTTGCTAGTTTATTTCTTTGTTTGATGGTTCTATTGCTCTGCATTTACTTTTCGTAATATTTTTCATGCATTAATAACAAAAACACCTACTCACCCCGTTTCTGTTTGGTGAGTCTAAAAGGTTGGAATGGACACCTAGAAGAATCTTTATCGTCTTTGTATACCCGTTGGACGCCGCCATATGAAGAGGGGAATTCCCATCATGATCCCTGCATCACAAACAAATATATAGGACTTTAGAATTTATGGTAATTTTTGAACAACTGAAAACAAATGACTCTCTGGAATTCTGAAAGAAAAAGATTTTATCAAAAATTTGAATCTTCATCTCTTTTTGAAATTAATAATTAAAGACGTTAATATGATGCTTTTACGACGTCAATCTATAGACCATGATGTTTAATGATCTAAAATTAAATGACATAGAAACACTAGGAAATATAATGAGTAGATATCTGACCTGGTGACATATGCCCCTTTCTCCATCAACATATGGATTATCTTTGTGTGGCCGTTTAAAGATGCTAAGTTAAGGGCAGATAACCCATCGCCATCTGTCTCGTTTATTATGTTGGCTCCATGAGGACTGTCTAGAAGCCGCTTACAAGTGTTGTACCGTCCGTACCTACCGTGACACAAAGGAAGTAGATTAAATAAATCATAAATACTGGAATATTTAATAGCATCAAGTGTTCAGATAACACAAGCATTACAACCAGAGATGGATTGATAGACAGAAAAGGTGAAGCCGTAGCAAGCGATAAAGAGAAGTGGAGTCATAAACTATGCGTTAACGATTTTTCTTAGTAACAATTAGGTCAGTCAGATCGACTGTATGACACACCACTAACGACTTAATCTTACACAACTAATTAACGTCACTGCTAACCAACGAAAAGGCACCGATACTGATTTCTGTAACATAAACCCACAAAAGAATTATACTATTTTATGCACTACCTCCTTCCTTTTAATTTTTTTCTTCATTTTATGCTATTTCAACAATAAAGTTAAAAAAAATTATAGTCGTAGGAAAATTATTCCACTGGTAGAGAAAAAACAGTCATCTATGAATGAACAAAATGCTATTAGTGTCAACAGTATTTTCATGATGATAACATGAAGTGCTACCACTGATGATCTCCCTATTTAAATCAGATATGTGATCTCGGAACTACATTAATTAATACATAGTCTGAAGATTCAAAAGGCAAGGGATCTGTGTCAAGAAAGTAATGATAAAGTTTGTCTCCATTCTACTGATTTTGAAATTAATTAAAGCCTCTTTCATTATCAATAATTATATTAAATTTATATCACCATGTAAAGATGCATTGTATCAATTGTCTGTTCACCTTGCAGCAAAATGTAGCGGAGATTGCTTATTGTTATTTTTTGGGTTGATGTGCGCCCCAAGGCTGATAAGATCGTCAATTGCTACGAGATGTCCTTCTCTTGAGGCGTAGTGGAGAGGGGTACAACCATAGTCATCCTTCTCGTTCAGCAGGTTTTTAACGTCCTGAGATAAAACATTGTTAAGATATAAAAGGGAAGGACCTTAGACATATCAATCATTGCACACTAGCCAATACCGAGGCTTACTATTGTAATTAAATACATACTTACGGAAAAAATAAGTTTGGGTTATTGTTATATAACTTTTAGACACGTGGACGAAATTTAATTAAATTTGACACTGAGCTACATTCAACATGAAAATGTCCTGCTGTAAAAATTCAGCCGATCGTGACCCCGCTTGATGTTTTCAGCAGATGTTTCAAGAAAATGGTGTTCTTTTGCACCATATGTGCTGGTAAATAATTTCAAATCGAACATTGGAACAGAACAGATCAGCTACACAACATTTCTTTTCGAAGTGATTGTAGAGCGAAATGCCGCCAATGAGTGAAGTCGATAGTGGCAAGGCCACTGCTCTGATAATGCAGGGACATTCGCAACGTCATGTAACTTAGCAATATGGGGTACATTAGACAGCAATATCTCGTTTAGTTTGGCGTTTCAGAGTTTCAGGGAGATTGGAAGACCTTCCCAGGTGCAGACGCGTGTTGTTCAATGACGAGTCTCGCTCCCCGCGTTACAGGTCAGATGGACGACGTGTCTATCGACGTTGTGGTGAGCGGTATTCTGACGCTTGCGTAACGGAAATAATCGAGAGACCAAAACAATGAACTAATCATCAATGAATCATAAAATAAAGACTATCAAAAATAAACTTTTTCCGCTAGTATAGACTGTACACACGAGTGAATAGCACCCTTAAATAGAATTAGATACCGTAGAGCCAAACATCATACAGCTGTTTCATTCGTCCCTCTAGGACTCATACAAAATACAATAATCTTGTTAAGCTTAGCATTTCTAAAGGTATATTAGGAAAGTGATAATACCAATGAAATACCTTCAGTAGTTCGACACCGAACTCATTCAGACGTCCGCCAAACTTGATTGCCAGATGAAGGAAGTTTCTGTTTTCTCGGTCAGTTTTAGCGAGACTGACGTTGTTGACAATCAGACACTGTACCGTCTTCCAACAGCCCTTAGACGCTGCGATCAGCAGTGGCGTCCTGTCTTGTGAATCCTGAGCATCTATGTCAGCTCCCTTAAATCAAAACAAAAAATCCATACTTATTAGAAATCTATATCGTGACAATGACAAAACGTCTACTGTTAAATGTACATTTATTTCGGTTCCGAACGTCATTATTAATCATATTTAATGTTGTTCTGTTTAATATGTATTTCTTGAGTATGACAAAATATATTCATGTCTATTTTTCACGTGAGCGAAATATTGAAAAAATACCTTAATATTCTGTTATACGAGATATTAATATATATTATAAGCAACGGGAAAACACGAAATGTAAATTTTACTGTTTTTTAGGAGGAGAGAATAGCAATAAATCTATCAGACATAGACAAAATCTGTGTCCAAAAAAGACGGGACAATCTACCATATTCTTTCCCGTCAGATGGTTATAACGTTACGCTTGACAACAATAACGCCAGTATGTATATGCTGTTCTCAGATGTCTCATTATTGGTGAAAAAATACTTATTCAACTTTTGCGTTAATTTGCAATCGAGCAGAACAAAACAAGTAAGCAGTAAATGAAAAGCACCATCCTGATTGGTCAAAATTCAAACACTTTTGATGATACAATATCTCTTATATCATCACCACGGTGATGATAAACGTTATCAAGCTGAGATTTGTTTATATTTCACAGGCAAATATATTTAAACGACATGTATAGTAGAAATATCAATCAAGCCCCAAATCAGCACGTATGATGTAAATGTCATATTTAACAGACATTGTATATCTGCATTAACTATCTAAACACACGATATACTCAATATGGACACGATAGTAAGGTCTTATTTCTTTTGCATCATCATGACATCATATCTGATACAAATGTATACCACATTCTTTGACAATTCACAAAAACTAACATATTGGTATCAGTCGTTGAAAAGAAGTATCATGTTTTGGTATTACTACCCCGACTCTCTCTTTAGTGATGTGTCATTAATTTGAGATTCGTAGGTGAAGCATATGACGTTAACTCACCTGGAATAGCTAATCGCAATGAATTTACAATATATAAAAAAGGCCCGTACAATTGACTTATTGTTATTTTGCCACTGCACCTCAGAATTGTATTGTGAGGTAAGTATATATACGTGTTTTCTGTGGACCTCTCACCTGTTTGAGAAGGTATTCTACAACGTTGACATGGTTAAACAAAGCAGCTCTGTGAAGTGGTGTCATCTTTAGTACATCACAGGTGGACAGTGCAGTAGAAAACCGAACTGGCTGAAGTTCCTGCATAATCTTTATCAACTCGACGCTGCCTTGAGCACATGCAAAATGTACTGGCGTCGATTTGTCTTCCTGTATTTGTATAACATGTCTTATTTAATATATAAACAATTACGTCATTTCATATAGTTTAAATCGGACTATTAATGCAAATTAGTGGCAGAATTAAAAAGAATCAAACTGAGAGCTGCCTTAAACCTTCAAGGATAATTAGTAATTACAACGTCAAAATGGGTTATTCATGAACATACCTGCTGAGCATCGACAGCGGCTCCGGCGGCAATACACACCCTTACTGCCTACAAGAACATTATCAAAAATAACGGAGATGAAAAATAATTGTTGAAAAAGAATTTACAAAAATAATTTATATATATATATTCTATTTTTCACTGTATAGATAACCTGAATGTCGGTTATCCTAGTAAAACCTCAATGCCATAACATGTTGTTTTTTTTTTTTACTTTATGCTAATTAGGAAGTTTCATATAAGTGAAAGACTGAGGTGCGATGATGAAATGATAATGCACACCAGACTTATATTGTACATAATAGCATACATGTATATATCTCGGGCAGTGCATGACCTACACTATTACATCCTCATATTATACCAGAACCTTAAACGCTAAATATAGAATGTAACTTTCAATGTCGCAACTGTGCAGTGATCTTTGATTTCCTGAACAGATAGATGTTAAGTAAATAGTATCAGAAAATGAATACGTTCTGTTTAATGTATGTGAAGGAAATGTACAGTAGTACCTCTATATCGCCGCCGTTTACAGCGGCGTGCAGGGGCATGTTATTGGCCTTGTCGGTAAACGAGAGCACTTGTTCTCTGGAGTATCCTAAATTCTCAACTGTAATGTAACAGAAACAAGAATAAGTTAATTGATAAATTGTGTAAATAAGACATTACTACGAACTAGATAAGTGTATATAATATATACGAAAATTAGACCACTGATAGATGAATAAAAGTAACAAATTTAAAAGTCATGTTTATAATCCAGATTATTTGCGAATGTTGCAAGTTATGATTTTGTGTTTAGGCGGCAAATGTTCATACAGACATTGCTGTTTCTCTAGGACAGCTCCTGACTGGTAATTTTCAGATATCACTGATAGTCCTTCATCAGACAGGATATTTACTCTTTAACGGAGATAATTTGTAACATCAAAGTGTGATTTACAGACCATGTTTAATTAAGACCTCCAGAGTCTTGGCTGCAGCTGATTTAGCAGCAACATGTATGGGATAAAACCCGTGCGAACATGTGACGCACGGTCTGGCGCCATACTGCAACTGTCAACAGAGAAACGTAAACAAAGTCATAATCAGAAATACAGATTAAAAATTCATATTGAATTCACGTCGATAACAAGCAGGACATCACACGTTAGAGCACTTATAAATGAGGTAATATTTATCTCTTAATTATAGCTGTTTCCAATCAATTGAAAAGTTAATATGTTGTGTATTACCATATATTTGTAGTTCTATCATAAAAAAATCAAGAAAACATCAACAAGTCATCATGATAATAGTCCAGACTCAAATAATAACAGGGTACACACAACGGAACCAGCTAATGAACATCAAACACGTCCAACTTCATATCAAACCAAAAAATAATATTTCTCAATCAGATCACTATGGCGGCTATAAAACTACCCCATATTTTCATCAACCTCCATCTTTTGAAACTCTGTGATACGAGTTTTCCTTCAGTTGGCGACTTATTGTATGAAAAGCTTGACAATCAGAACTTAAATATCGAATCGACTGTGACATGTAAAACATCATAAGTTCGGGATACAGTAAAATATATCAAAGGCAATAAAGAAAAGCAATAAAGTTTATCAAAAGTTATTAACAAAATGGAAAATACGTGACTTTTCTTACAATTACCTTTTACTAGTTATAACCTGAAGTCATTAGTAAGTGTAAAACATTAAGTAAACATACCAACAGCTTAGCACATTCATCTCTGTCCCGTGAGGCACAATAATGAAGAGGGGTTAAACCAGCCTCTCCCGGCAGACAAACATCAGCCGTGGAAAATTTCAGTAGGCTCTGAAAACAAATTCGAAATGTACCCATCAAAACTTTGAATAATTATATTTTTATTTTCAGTTAACAAAATTAATTTATAAAAATGCAATAAATAAAATGAAAATTCTGTAAGAGCCAACCCAAAATTCTGACCAACTCATTATTAATTTCTGTCCTTTAACGCCTTCTCAATATTGAGAAGTCTTCACATATACTACCTGTTTTATCACCTTAGTAAACACACCAATAAACAGAGCTACCTGGTGGATATTTCACCGAGTATGTGTGACAAGTGTCTGATCGGTTGGATGAAATGAGGTTTTAAGCTTATTGCCTCAGTGTGTTTAATGCTATGAAAACTTCATATTTAAAATCGATATTTACTATAAAAATACACTAAAGTGGTTGTAGGAAAGTTTGTCTCGGTGACCATATCTGCAATAACGAACCAAACAGCTTTTCTCCCAATCGCTAAGATAATAGCCCGATTTAAACGTAAATGCTTCTTGTGGAGTAATTTACACAGCATGTCGATGTTGACATAATGGTGATACCCCGTGAGATATGTTTCACTGACAAACTGTTTTACTGTTGCGAGACGTTGCATTAATTTTTAATTGATTCGCGCGTGATTTTCGCGATAGTGTGAGGATGAGATTATCGATCTACCTTTGAAAACATTTCCACACTAATCAAATCTTATACCTCTAACGCTTTGATTTTGCCTTCGTCTATTGCCAGATGTATCGGTGCCATGAACGCCTCGTTTAAGATGATAGTACTGGCGGACTGCTTAAGTAGATATCCGATAACGTCGGTATGGTCGCCTTGTACTGCCAGGTGGAGAGCAGTGTCACCATTCTTATTAGTTAAGTTTATTTCTGAAACAATATATCCAAAGTTAAATGAACGTGTACCGTTAGAAATCAGTATGTTATTAGGAGAATTCAACAAAGAATACACTCTCAATGATTCCATGCCAAATAAAAATAAACTGGCGTTAAGTAACCTAACATTGACCCTATATTCTCTTATTGGACTTTATTTTATTATTTAGAATTAGATAACAGCAGGACTTATCATGAAAGTATTAATATCATCGAAACTCGTTATCTCGAAATTCAAGGTATATGTATGTTACATACCAGCCCCTGACGTAACAACAAACTCCACAACGTTAAGGTGTCCGTTGGCGGCGCCATGGTGAAGAGCTGCCCATCCACGGGAATCCTGTATAAAGATCCTGGTCCGATCTGCTTTGAACAGTCTTTGGACCTCCGCAAGGTTTCCCTTTCCTGCAAACTGTAATGCAAAAGGATTATTTATATATATTGGTGTGCCTTGTACAGTCTCTGGATCTAGGCAGGGTTCCCTTTCAATAAAACTGTTATAAAACATAATTATATATTCTGGTCTGTCATGTACAGTCACTGGACCTCCCCATATTTCTTTTCCCAGCGAATTGTAATATAATATAAAAAAAAATATACAATCTGGTTTGCATTGTACAGTCTCTGGACCTCCGAAAGTTTCCCTTCCCAGCGAACCGTTATGCAATTGTTTTTTTTTTAAATATACATTTGTAATATTTTTGGAAACAGGTCGACAGGTAAGATCTGTGTTTTCATTAAGTACGCAACAAACACGTGCATACGCCAACATGTATGAATCATGTTCCATCGCTCCTCCGAATCTACGGATTTTGATTTTGGACTTGGGCGCAAATATTACTTTGAATGACGCGGTCATCGGGCCCGCATCTCTTACTTTTTTTCGACATCACAGCAAAAACAGTAGGTATAGAAAAACTACATTTCTAAAGGTAGTGCAATGAAGCCGTACACAGGAGAATATCTTTCATTAATTTGTGAGGATCACCTAGAGTATATGCCAAATAAAGCCTTTATCAGCACCAGACAGACATTTCGTTCTTAGCTAGGTGAAGCAAAGTTAGCTGTAAGATATGTTGAGTTGGTGTGATATACCATCTGAATAATCTGATGAATTTACATTTCTAAAGAATAAAGAGTTCGGAAAATAAACAAGACCACCAATATGCTTTGTTAAATTCAACAGTCTTACTTTATAAACTCTCATATCCTTTTTAAAGCAACAAGATTATAAACACGAAGTATATTTTTTATTTAAAATCAGACGACGGTAAGCCATCTGACATAAGGGTTAATAATGTTGATTTACTTTCTCGGATTTTTTATTTCTGATGGAAAATGTGGACTTCCATATATTGCATATTTAAAAAGTGCGTGTTTTATAATAATTCCGTCACGACAACAGTTTTGTATGAAGAAATGACGACATATTAATGATCGCTAATAAAATTTATCGATATTTTTTTATTTGGATTTTCTCTTCATCAGCTACAAATCACATGACTGATAAGTATCTTGGAGAGAAATACGCATCTGAAAGATCCACAGACGATATCAAATAAACCCAGGATTTATTTTTCGGGATTTTGATTTTACGGAAGATAAACTTGATTATGTGTCCTGCTGTATTATCTTTGTCGTATTTATTATTATATTATTGTTTTCCTTTATATTGTTATCTTAATTCATGATAGAAATTTATCAAACCTATTAATACCTTCTGATATAATAGTAAAACGGGTCAGTTTTATAACAAACGTTAATATCATACAAAATGAAGATAAAAAGACATGTCTAGATATCAGCTTGATCCATGTGAAATTGAAAATCACAATAAGGTAGAAAGCAAATTTATCAGCTTAATGCAAAAACTTCATTATATATTTTATCCAGCGTGCTGGGTTAAATTAATTACATTTTGTGCGCAGTAGATAGATAATACGACAACACTGATAGATCCCAACTCAACTCATGTTAAATTGCATTCGGTCATAAGGGAATACATTTTAAAGCATAAACGTGATTGTGGACATAGCCATTAAAGAGTTTCAACGGCCTCTCGGACAAATACCTGTGTTGAATATAGAATGTTAGATAAAAAAGGATACCTTATCTGTATTTTACTTGCCGTTTAATCTCCTGGGACCAAAATACGTTACTGTGCCTTCCATTCATACACCGAAGAACACGTTTTATTGACAATATACCTTGTTCATAATGTATTTCCATTAACCTTTCACCAAAGTCATCACACCATCAATACGCTAATTGTCAATCTCCATACAGACGAAGAGTTCTACTCCGAGACTATTTATCTAATATTGTATTGAAACAAACAAATTGGAATGGTATTGTACAAATATGTGCAGCAATAGAAAACCCATTTAAATCATTATAAAAGGGATTCGTTCAATAACGACATTACGATGAGAATATGTTGGACACTAGAATAACAAAAACTGACACGAAGAACAAATTTACAAATAGAAATTGAACTTATTTAATTGTTAACGATTTCCTTATCAAATACAATTCTACAATATTGTGTTAATATCTTACAAATGTTTTAATGAAGGTCAACTTGTAATGAGATCCACCTGGTTCAATTCGGGACTAGGTCAACAACGATTGCAAGCAATAAAATAGCTGTCAGCTTTCAAATATTTCATTCTTTGAATAATTTGCACAGATATGTCATTTAAATTGGATTGTTTGATGTACATTAGCGTATTGTCAAAAATCATTCCTACCGTCACTTTTATTTTTTTTTTTCCTGCTTACATTTGTTAGCTGCAGAATGTGGAAAGTAAATTTAAAACAAAAAACAAAAAACAAAAAACAAAAACAAAAGACAAAACAAAAACAAGCAAAAAGGAGTAACAAACAAACAAACAAACAAACAAATAATAAAAAAGAAACAAACGAAAACAAATATCCGCATTTACAGAGGTTGTAAATAAGGATTTTATGTTTATGTGTAGAACGTTTAAACGCTTATCTTCTTGTACTATGGATATTTATACATTGACAATCGACTTATGTTTTGAGGAATATAAAATAGAAAGCATTCCATAGTTTTAGAGAAATAATCACTTAAATAACTATATTTACCGAGCAGTGAGCTTATTTTCAACCATTTTGGTTGTTTTGGATGTGAAGGGAAAGTAAAATCAAAGGCTCGCTTTACAAGTATATCTGTTTTATCATCATTATCGTCCGATAGTCTCCTTCTCGACAACACTTGCAACTAGACCAGGAATGAAATGATGTCAAATAAATGTGTATAAAATTAAACATTCCAAAGACGAATATTGTCACAAGATTTTAATTTAACGTTTCCAATTTACATCTTTCTGATGGTAAACCTGAAGGTAAGAATGACTTGGCCATTAAGCATCAAAACAACTTCCTCGCAATTAATGGTAAAAGTAATTTACATCGCTCCAGGTGACCTGAAGCTAAATCGGTTCATCGTATGTTCTTACTTCAATAATCAGAAAAATCACACGCTAAACACGTCTGAATTGATAAGTGCACCCACGTTCCTGTGTGGATCGTGCCTTTAGCAATTGACGCAAGCTATCAACAATCACTTAGATGTGGTACATAGTCTTGGATTTAACGTCTTTATAATTGTATATACTGAATATAAACATGTGTTATCAACTGATTCTTGTTATACATGTTAGAAGTGCAGTTAGTAGACCATGACTTGGATAAAAACTCTGCATACATGCGTATCAATACTGTCAGCTTTATAGAATGATATTAAATCATTTTATAAAATTAGACTGGTCCTGGACTAGTCCTTGTAACAGACTGTTTGCTAAATAACACAATAATTAAGGCAATATAACGAACATAAACAGGCAATTTTTTATAACAAGAGGTTTTTGTTGATACCTTAGCCACGCTGTATACTTACACATAGAAATTTAGTTAAGGCAACACATGTGTCACTGTCGAGAGACAGACACGATCCATTATAACTATCCCTGTCTGTAAACCCGTGACTATTGACATCTAACAAGGACATGTCGCCTCTGTTAGAATCTAGATCATCATCCTTTCTCTGATTTTTCCTCTTCTTTATCCTCATCCATTGTAATATTTGACTTCGGTCTCTTGCCATTCCTCCAATCCTACATATACACCTGCCACCGAAGGCCACTCGTATGTTGACGTATTGCTACCTGTTATGTATACACCAAGAAACACGGAGCGAGGATCTTATTATATCTTGAACTTTGACCCATACAGGTAGCTTTCCTCAGTGAATTAAATTCAGTATATTTTCCGTGTGTCTATTTATCGGAAGTTGTGACGAATCATTAAGCTATATATAGAATCGAACTTTAAGTTGGAGAACATTACAGACACATCGAGAACGTTCTATATCTTGCAACGATGTCACAATTGGTTTCACTCATATGTAACCAAATACCCCGTTACTGTTCCGGAAGCTGCTGATAAGGGTACATACTGAGGCGTCCTTTCTCTGGTTTATTGGCCATAAACTTATGTTTTATTTTAATTACTCACATTAATTGCTATTAAAGAAGAATTGTCATGTACCCTTTCAACCAAATTCCTGGTTGTATCTTAACGATTTCCATCATGTTTAACAATACTTTAACGATATTATAAATCCATTTGTAATTATACCGGGAGAGTGCACGTGCTTGGTTCTCACTACGTTGCTGGACAAATACAGTCGGTCTCCAGCAGTCTCCTCCCTTTCAATACACGTAAAAGTTATCAGATCATAATTATTTAAAGCAGCAGCGCGCCGCGGTGTTATGAAATTACGCGCACGAAATCAATAGTTTAATATGACGATATAAACTCCAAGTTTGCAGTAGTCTATTCGTGTGTACGTACAGTAGTCTATTTTAAACTATGTAATATTGGAATATCATCATTTTTATTTCATTTTCTTTTTATTAAATTTACTTCCAATTTCCCACGTAATGTGGGTCATATTTAAACAAATCAGTGATTGTCATATATCCTCAGATTTCGTATTCAGCTAAAGTTAATTAATTTGAATTCACGTCGTCCCATCTGTACGATTTACGACTGAATCATCAGACATCAGTAATTAAGTGATTGCCCTTTTTTCATCACCTGTCTCATTCATAATCTCAAACAAAGTATTACTTTGATAATATATTAATACTATTAACAGAAACAACAAACAGTATACCAATATGTCCACAAAAACTTATTTCCAATTCAGATTCAATGAAAAACAAGAACAAAATGACAATTAACATAGATTTCCCTGACACAAGTACAAGGAGAATAAAACCAGGTGATCAAGAAGGATAAGCGTCCTCTGATTGGTGGACGAAACTCAGCATGTAAATATTGGCCAATCCCAATTATAAGTGTTACGTTCCATGTGAGTGAAACGTACCACTAGGTATACCTGTACTAATGAACATATATAATGCCCGTTACACTTCCCCAGGATCTTAATCTGCCTGTATCTCTCGCAATCCATGGTTGTGACCTTATCTGACAGTTGTTGACACCTTGCAACAAGATCGTGATGCTGGAAACAAGCCCTTGTACATCGAATGAATTGCGACCTGCTAATGTCATAGGTTTGGCAAGCAGAGAATTGTCCCAAAATGATCTATAACGGTCATTTCCGTTATTTCATAATTAGTAAATAATTATAGAAAATTAAGATTTTGTTAGAAATGCAACTAATTTGCATGTCATCTGTACAATCCGTGGCTAGAAAACTGTTTGATCTCACAATATAAAATTTTATACATTAATCTACCATCGGTTTCTATTCCTGTTATAACAACGGATAATTCTGTCAAGGATTAGCTCCTCAGAATAGTAATCGTACAAATATGACAATTATATGAATAATGAATACCTCTGTATATCGGTAATGATAAAGGACGATACAAAAGACAGGTAAATGACAAAATCAAATAAATTGTAACATGTGTGACCTTTATGTTAAAATAAAGACAGAGAAGATAAACAAAGTTTTTAAATCTATTTATTACTTATGTCCGAAAGGGAATTCAGGGTACGTAAGAAGATACAGGATATATTGATGCAAATGGATATATGTTGTGCTTAAGGATTCGACCAATAGAAAACAACACCCTAATACCTCTAAGTGTTTATCTCCAGGTTGGTGACCTATGAAGTAGGGCGCTAATCAGACATACCTGCTCAGGTGTCGGTGATATTTGATAAGTGATGTTATGAACTTGCTTTATAAGAAATTTAACAATAAAATTACCTGTGATTTCCATTTATCCCAAGGATTTTTTTCTACTGATATTCGCTGCTATGAGAAAAACTCTGATTTCCTTACAATGTTTCTTAATAAGTTGTATGCCCTCCATCTACAAAAACATCGTGACCTACTTCCGTGATATAGTGGGCATGATAACAATTTAGTTTTAAACTTAACGGGTGTTATGAATTGTTATTTTAAAGGTAACACCACGCATGTTGTGAGCATGGATATATATCGTTCGCTGAGTAAAATACAGTGTTATCATACAAATGGCAGTGAGATCCGCTGCTTTTGATTAAGACTTTTCCCTATCAGATGTTATATATATTTGTATTTTAATTAAAATTTAAATTTCGGAATCGTCCATAAAGGTAATCGGAATAATTCTATTAGGAGCCCTATACATGGTACTAGTAATTAAGAACCCATACAGGATTTCCTATTCTGAAACGTCCAATCTACACAGGCATTTAAGTAGAAATATAAAATTATTCAAGAATTTAACAAAATATACAAAAATAAACAGCACTATTTGATATTCATATAACATCACACACGCCCCAGCAAACTAGTGATTTTACAAAAGACACACAAGTGAACAGCACTTTTTCATAATTTAGAGTAAGATACATTAGAGTCAAACAATGAATCAAACTACATCATACAGCTGTTTCGTCCTTCTAGGACTCGTCAGTGATGTTACATCATACAGCTGTTTCGTCCTTCTAGGACTCGTCAGTGATGCTACATCATACAGCTGTTTCGTCCTTCTAGGACTCGTCAGTGATGCTACATCATACCGTTGTTTCGTCCTTTTAGGACTCGTCAGTGATGCTACATCATACAGCTGTTTCGTCCTTCTAGGACTCGTCAGTGATGTTACATCATACAGCTGTTTCGTCCTTCTAGGACTCGTCAGTGATGCTACATCATACAGCTGTTTCGTCCTTCTAGGACTCGTCAGTGATGCTACATCATACAGCTGTTTCGTCCTTCTAGGACTCGTCAGTGATGCTACATCATACAGCTGTTTCGTCCTTCTAGGACACACATAAATGATGCTAAGATGTTACATCACACAGCTGTTTCGTCCTTCTAGGACTCGTCAGTGATGTTACATCACACAGCTGTTTCGTCCTTCTAGGACTCGTCAGTGATGCTACATCATACAGCTGTTTGTCCTTCTAGGACTCGTCAGTGATGTTACATCATACAGCAGTTTCGTTCTTCTAGGACTTCGTTAGTGATGCTACATCATACAGCTGCTTCGTCCTTCTAGGACTTCGTCAGTGATGCTACATTATACAGCTGCTTCGTCCTTCTAGGACTCGTCAGTGATGCTACATCATACATTATACAGCTGTTTCGTCCTTCTAGGACACACATAAATGATGCTAAGAGTCTTATTGCTGAAGTCGTAGGTACATTATAATCTTAGTAGCATTATCTTACTTCTGAATGTCAAGAACGATTATAAGCTTGTCTGATTCCTATCTTTCACTGGAGACATTAATGAATCAAAAGTTCCTATACCAGAAAATCCCGGAAATTCAGTCAGATCTGAGGATTATCTTTTAAAAATATTTATCTAAAACACATAATCTATTACTTTGTTCCTTTCACATTAAGAAATATCGAATCCCTTTACAGATGGTACTTATAGAATAACACCGTTCTGTATCCCATTGTATATTTCGAAATAATGAAATTACTAAATCTCTCTCTCTCTCTCTCTCTCTCTCTCTCTCTCTCTCTCTCTCTCTCTCTCTCTCTCTCTCTCTCTCTCTCTCTCTCTCTCTCTCTCTCTCTCTCTCTCTCTCTCTCTCTCTCTCTCTCTCTCTCTCTCTCTCTCTCTCTCTCTCTCTCTCTCTCGTGGTAAACTGTCTCTTTGGATAGTCTTATATTAATATTAGGATGTGGATATGCGAGTATTTTAATATTATATTTTTACCAACACATGTATTTAGTAACCTCTGAAGGTTTTATTGAAATCGCTACATAGAAAAACTCAGTTTCTTGTACTATCGGAGATATGTATACATAATGCTTACATGTTCTGTGAAATGAATAGGTCTTTGGAGTCTTTGTATAACGCAGTTTAAGTGTTGTATATATAAATAAGCCTGTAACACATCGTTCTGGACGGACACCGTTTCTACAAATACTTCAGGCTCTACGTGAGCCGATGTAAATACTGGCCTGGTATCACTACATCTGATGAATTCTTCTTCGCGTCACTTAAACGTTCTTTGGTAGAACACATATACAGACATACACAGATATACACAGACACGTAGTAAATCAACAATGCTTGACATACCTCCGGACTAAATTCTATCCAGATAAAAACCGGAATGTTATACTAATTAAGATTTCCTTTGATGATTTATAATTTCTCATACTATTTATAGCGGAATTTAATTCACTTACATTTATTTGTCACCAAATTAGTTACCAGTAATAAGAACGGTATTTGTATTTTGAATATTCTTCGGGTAAAAATTTTGTTGGATTTTATTCCATTCAAGTTTAAATCGTTTATAACTTATTTGTTTATCTCATTTAACATAGTCATAAGATCAATTTCTTTTACAATTATTGTTTGTTCATATATTTACAGTGAAAATATTAAAAATTTTAAGCTTGTGACTATTGGGGGCGATATTTGGATAGCAAATGTGTTATATCAGGTGAGTCGATCAAAACCTAAATCAGCCCCGAGATGTTACTGTCGAAGAAATATGAAAAATAAATTATAAAAGTTATAAGAGATATCTAAATAATTGTTTGGAGTTGATAATACCCCAACCCACCCGTGAAATATATTGATAATATGTATGAAATGTGCATTAAATATA